GAGAGGGAAGGAGAGAGAGAGAGAGAGAGAGAGGGAGAGAGAGAGAGAGAGAAGGGAATGGGCAGAATATGCTAACTAGGGTCAGCATGGGTCTTTTGAAACCTCAAAGCCACACTGAGTGACACAATTCCCACACCCCCACTCCAAACTGACACTAATTCTTCTCTGAAGGTAATTCTCATTCAAACCACCACAATCATTCTAGTTAGATTCCAAAATTGGAGAAAGAATCCATACTAAAGTCTAATTGAAAAATGGCTAAGTATAGCTACAAGTATAACATTTCAAGAACCTAGTTACCTGTAGTGGGACAGAGGCACTTACAAACCCAACAATTTCATTTATTTATTTGCTTGTTTGTTTATGCATGCTTCGTAAGAAAATGGCCAAATACAATATTTAAGCTATACGATATTCTCCTTATCATACATATGACACATAAAGTGGATCTGTGGGACAGTAGTTTCCAAATTACCTCAAAAGTCGGATGTTTTCTTTTTCATCAGTTTTTGTAAAATGGTTAGCAACCTAAGCCTAACTAAGCCATATACCAGTCAGGAAGAGGCAGATTCTCTGGTGTGCTTTAATACAACTTCAATAGAATCTCCTGTAGCCACATAGTACTGCAATATTAAAATGAAGTATATGTTCCCAAGCAAAACTTCAGATGCATACTGTTAGTTCTATTTAAATTTGGAGTTAGAGATTCAACAAATACTAGAGTATAGAGGTTGAAGAGTCACCTGTCATTTATGACTACATCTGCTTGTGCTGAACTAAAACTCTATGAAATTAGGTTTATCATTCTTAAAACAAGAAAAATAATAATCATATTATTTATAAAAGGTTGTAGCACTAGTGAAAGGAAAAAAGAATTTTAGAATGCAACCTTCACTTTTTAATAATTAGTTTTTATTGTCAGATTCTAAGCATGAACACCAATCACTGTGGCTCTAGAGTTCAGAACCTTATTATGTCCAGGATCACTTAATGAAGTAACATTATTGATTTCTGGATGTAAATGGCAAAGTGCCACAGTAATGTAATATATTATTATTAATTTTTAGTTTGTTAATGTATATTTGCCACTGAATACAATATTTTTGGCTAATGGACATCAACTAAAGACACTAAAGGCATAGATGTAGCCTATGGAACATGTAACTTGAAATAATGGAAAATAACTATTTTTTAAAAATTCATGATCTCTTTATTATTGTTTTACAAACACAACATATATTTAATATAATCATATATATATATATGTACATATATGTATAACCTTCTGAGTTGTTTTGGTTTTGCTTGCATGTACATAAATTCAGGGCTGACCACTTGATACTGTATAACAAACTAGAATCCTCCTCCCCAGGGATGGCTATTGCTCCCTCTCCTACCACCCTTTAGTTGTCTGTACAACCTTAGTAGTTCTTTACCTATGGGTGCATTCCTGTGAGAGAGAGAAAGGGTAAAACATGAGGGAATTGGAAGAAGGAAAGGAAATTACATAATTATATTTTAATAAACTTTTAAAAACCTTTACGAACTTGAAAAGTAGATACTAGCATAGGGTTGAAAACTCCCTCCTCTGATTGCTAATTAGACTACCAAGTTAAATGAAAACTAACGCACTGTTAGTTTTTGTGTCAGGAACCTTCATGCTGGCTTTACAGGAAAGAGTGACTGGTGTTTTTAATTGACCTGTTCTTGAGGATCCTGGGACCACATCTAAGATTCACATATCTACTGTCTCTAGAACATGGTATGAATGAGGTCCATAAAAGACTACATATTTTATCAGTCCCTGTAAAATTTCAGCGATCCACCTTGTCCATGTTCACTATGGTAGTGACTGAAGGCATAAATAATCTAACTTAAATTGTTATTTTTCAACATTTTGGATAAGAAAATTGACTTAAAATAAAAAAGAATGATTAACTAACTCTTAATGATCTTGGTACAGCTATAGCCAAAAATCAATATATAAATGTCAAACACTGTCAATATGTTCATTCTCCCTATAAAAATTTCCCAGGAATTCTTCTGGGTTTTTCATTCTTGTTTTTTAAAATTTTTTATCGTAATTTATTTAATTTTTACTGACTTTACATCCTAGTTGTAGCTCCACCCTCTCAGTCCCATCCTCCCTCCTTCCCCCATCTCCTTTTTCTCCCTTTCTCATCCACAGAAGCTCATTAAGTTGCATCAGGACTGAGCATGTCCTCTTCCCCTGTGGCCTGGCAAGGCAATCCTGCCTGGAAGAAGTGATCAAAAGAGCTGTCAAGTAAGTCCGAATCCAGTGCAATCCCACTTCCCTTACTAGAAGGCTTACATGTAGCCTAAGCTGCCCATAAACTACATCTTTGTATGGGGTCTAGGTTCAGTTGATGCTTCAGTCTCAGCAAGTCCCTCTGGGCCCTGGTTAGTTGCCTCTGTTAATCTTCTTGTTGGAGCTCCTCTCACCTCCAGGTCCTTTTCTTTTTCCTCCCACTTTTCCACAAGACAATAAACATCGCCCAATGTTTGGCTATGAGTCTCAGCATCTTTTTTGAGGTGCTGCTCTGTACAGCCACAACAACTCTGTCAGGCTCCTGTCTTCAAGCTGAGCAGAGTATCATAGAGTCGTAGTGTCAGGAGTTGGCATTCTCCAATAGGGTGGATCTTTGGTTGGGCCAGGCATTAGTTGGGCATTTCCTCAATCTTTGCTCTTTCTTTATGTCTGCACATCTTGTAGGCAGGGTCAATGTTGGGTCTAAGTTTTTGTGGGTGGGTTAGTGTTCCCCTCACTCTGGTAGGAGACTAGTCTAGTTAGAGGGTGTCCTCTTCAGTCTCTATGGTCCCTGCTACTAGGAGTCTCTACTTGAGTAGCCCTCATATCCTTGTAGGAGCCTACCCTGACATAGGTCTCCAGCTTGTCACAGAGATGTTCCCATCAGATTCTCTCTTCTACACAGGCCTTCTGTCCTCTCACCCTTGCTCTCCCCAGGTCGGATTTCCATCCTCTTAACTCTCTGTGCCACTCCCTCTTAACTTGTTCCCTCTCTTCAGCCACTACCTCTGTCTATTCTATTTTCCCTTCAGAGTGAGATTTATGCATCCTCCCCTGGATTCTTTGTTTACTATCTTTTTAGAGTCTGACCTCATAGTATGCTTATCCTGTACTATAAGATTAAAATCTACTTATAAGGTATACATACCATGTTTGTCTTTCTGAGTCTGGGTTACCTCACTCAGGATGATCTTTTCTAGTTCCATCCATTTGCCTGAAAATTTCATGATTTCTTTGTTTTTGATAGCTGAGTAGTATTCCATTGTGTAAATGTGTCAGTTTCTTTATCCATTTTTCAGTTGAGAGGAATCTAGGTTGTTTCCATTGGATGGGGCTGGGAGATGGATGGTGAGGATATTGAGCCAGTGTAGGTGAAATATCGGCCCAACCCAAGGTAAATAATGCAATTATAAAATCTAATAGGTATCTTTGTCTCATTATTTGGGATAGAGGGTTAAATAATAGAGGGTTAAATAATCTGTGATAGAGGGTTAAATAAATGCTGTGATAATCTTAGGGCTAATAATAAATTATATACAGCCAAACATTTATTTTTTAATTTACTAAAACAGGGCTTCTGATTTTTTTAAATTAATCTTGTATCCACCCTCTTCACTAATGCTGTTTATCAGCTACAGGAGTACTCTGGTGTAATTTTGGGAGTTGATTACATATGCTATGATATCATCTGTAAATAGCAACACTTTGACTTCTTCCTTCCCAATTTGTATCCCTTTAATCTCCTTTCATTGTCTTACTGCTCTAGCTAGAATTTCAAATACTATACTTAAGAGGTGTAAGAGAATGCACAGCCTTTTCTTGTCCTTGATTTTAGTGGAATTGCTTTGAGTTTTTCTCCATTTAATTTGATGTTGGCAATCAGCCTGCTGTATTATATTTATTAATCGCCTTTATTATTGTTTAGACATGAGCCTTATATCCCTGATTTCTCTAAGACTTTCATCATGAAGGAGTATTGGATTTTGTCAAAGACTTTTTCTACATCTAATGAGATGATCATGGCAGATTTTTTTTTTTCTGAGTTCGTTTACACGGTGGATTATGTTGATGGATTTTCATATGTTAAGCCATCCTGCATTCTTGGGATGAAGCCTACCTAATCATGGTGGATGATGTATTTTATGTGTTCTTGGATTTGGTTTGTGAATATTTTATTGAGTATTTTTGCATTGATGTTCATGAGTGAAATTAATCTGAAATTTTCTTTCTTTGTTGAGTATTTGTGTGGTTTAGGTATAAGGGTGACTGTGGCTTCACTGAATGAGTTTTCCAATGTTTCTAGAATAGTTTGAGGAGCATTTGCATTAGCTCTTCTTTGAATGTCTGGTAAAATTCCATGACAAAACCAGCTGGACCTGGGCTTTTTTTTTTTGGCGGGGGGAGACATTTTATGACTGCTCCTATTTCCTTAGAGGTTACAAAACTGTTCAATCTGTTTACCTAATCTTGAGTTAGCTTTGGTATATGAAATCTATCAAGAAATCTGTCCATTTCCTGGAAAATAACTTTAAAATATATAGTTTGTAACATCAGTTTAGACATTTGTGTATTTTCACACATCCACAGAGTATCAAGCCAAAAATGTCAAATATCTCTCAAGATACTAGTGGAAACTGATGGAATCATTACAAAGGTTGCTGTGTGGGTAAGATCCACAAATATACATGGACAATTTGGCATCTGCTCATAGAAGGTCATTAGAGGATACATACAATAAAAATATATTGTATATGAGTATGAACTTGACAAATAATAGAAGACACTGTATTAAAAAAACTCTACACAACTATGTGTAATAAACAGTTTTTAATCCCTAGTCTCAATTATATTACAGTCTGGACATGTCAACACCAACAAGGTATTATGGACCTGTGAAAGGTCCAGGAAGGAATTTACATAAAGCAGCAGCAAATGGTAGAGCAGATCTTACCACATTTGAGTTGACTGTATGTCTGAAGCACGTGATGTTTACCACATAAGGCCAGTCATCGGGCTCCATGAGCACTCCAGCAGCATGGGCACATGTGACATGGAAAGAAGCTGGGCATCGGCCATAGGAACACTGGATGCAGGCCCCAGAAACCTTTTTAACCCGGTGTCTACAGAAGATGCATTTCTGAAGGGTTAAAGCAGAGAACATTATTCATTAAAGAACAGTAGTTGTTAGATGAACAACACAACAGGCATTACATCAAGTTCTGACTTTGGGGGCTTATCAGCAAGAACAATTGTGGTAATAAACTCTCCTCACTTTAAAAGTGATATACTTCCACAGTCATACTCCAAACATATTCTGAAGTACTTCTTGTGGTCAGCAAAGCCAAATTCTTTCTTACATGCACCTCCTTGCACAGACCTCAGAAGAAGTCCCTGGATGATATTGTAATAAACAAGGTCTGCCAATTCTGTTTGGCCTGACCACGGCAGGCCTTTGTGTACACCTAAGTTTGAACCCATGTTCAGATACTCTTATATTAGATGAGAAGATTGAAAGTACCAAACATCATACATGAGATAATTTTTCTATTTATAAGGATATGAAAGGACTAAATGGTTCAATATGAAACTAAGTACTCAAGTATTTAATACTCCAAATATAAATGCTTATTGACAAAGACAAATTTCCTCCTAAAGCAGAAAAACTAAAAATCATCCTGTAATAGCATGTTTGTATTGAACATTTATAGCTGAGAATTGCTAGGGAAGAATAAAAATGAACAATAGTAACTACTATAATCTAAAAACTAGATTTCACACAAAGGCCTTAAAACACTTCCAGAACATTTATTATGAGTGATAGAATAAAATCAAATATCTTCATTAAATATAAGAAGTATGTATGATTACTTGAGGGTTAGGAAAAAAACTGTGGATCAGTATAGGGTCAGATTTATAAACCAGATGAAAAAGGGTCAAATGTTGGTACAATGGTTCCCTTTCTCAGGTACACTTTTCTTTGTGGGATAATGGTTCTTAAAGTCTTAAAGCCATGTGGGCACTTATTACAGTCATGCAAGAATTAATGTACACTAGGATTCTAAATCCTTTTTTGTCCTCACATCTGATTACTGACACAGTTCTAAAGACTGTTCCTCCATCTTGCTCAGTTTTCTTGCTACCTATCTACAGTAACTGACACTGCCTCTATTCATGCTGCCTTGCCAAGAACAGAAATGGTCTTCTAAGTGGTCTTTTATTTCATTCCATTTTAGTTCAGCTTCCCAGGACTGCCAGGGTTACCTTTATACAACATAAATACTATGCTCACCTCCTAAAAGGCATCTTGTTATCTTGGAGTTCTTTTAGGAAAAAGAAGGGGGTGGCAAAATAACATGGAAAAACAAAACTTACAAAAGCACCTCCATTATCAATTAGAGTAGCATTATTTTTCACTAGTCTCCACAAGGGCAATACTAGACTCCAGAGACTTACCTAGTTTCCTGTTCACACTCAGGATCAATGTAAAATAACATTCTATTCTATTATTTTCTATTTATTTATTTAATGTTTGTTTGTTTACTTTTGTTTTTTCAAGACAGGGTTTCTCTGCATAGCTTTGGCTGTCCTGGACTCGCTGTGTAAGAGCATGCTAGTCTCGAACACACAGAGATCTGCCTGTCTCTGCTTCCCAGCATGCTGGGATTACAGGCATGCGCCACTACAGCCAGTTTTTTAAAAAAATATTTGTTTGCTTATATATTATTTATACAGTGTTCTGCCTGTATGTGTGCCTGCACATCAGAAGAATGCATCAGATCTCACTACAGATGTTTATGAGCCACCAGGTGGTTGCTGGGAATTGAAGCCAGGACCTTTGGGAACAGCCAGTACTCTTGACCTCTGAGCCAACTTTCCAGCCCGAAAATCACATATTTTAAATTAGGGGCTGAAGATGTGACATTCAAAAACATACACATGTATACAAACAGAGAGAATGGGAGAGAGATGCAAAAAGAAGAAAGAGTGACAGAGAGAAGGAAGGGGATAGAACCAAACAAGGACCACACAATTTCAAAGCATTACTTTATAATTCCTTTTGATATTTTTATATACCATTGGTCTCTGATTTGAAACAGCATGAAATGGAAACTAGTAGAAGTCAATACAAATTCTGATCAGGACATAAGCTTCAGGTAACTGACAGTAGGAAGAGGCCACGGTTTGAACGTCTTTTCATTACTCACTGCTCTTGGTTGACAGAAATCTACAGAGAATTTATCCCGTCCTTTAAATAGTGCTATCAGGTCAAGGGTGGGCACTGAACCAATGTCTTCAAGAAAGCAAACAGACATGTTTGTTTGTTTGATAGAGCAAAATACTAAACTTCCTAGGCTCACTATGAACTTATTCTCTAGCCCAGGGAGGCCTTGAAATTGTGACTGTCCTGTTTTAACCTCCATCTCAGGAGTTTGGATTACAGGATTGTGCCACCAGGCTTGGCTTCCTAATGTTTTAAATGGTAATTCCATGTTCCACAGGTACAAAGGGAATTAAGGATATTAAACACTAACATGTTAATTTGGAAGAGGAAAATCTCACAGGTTCCCACTCACAGGCAAAGCAGTATAGGCAACCAATGACTGGTGACAGAGGGACAATCAGCCTTTCCCAGAGATGCGACCCCTACTTGATTATCCCATACCAAGTGATCACCCTTGAAATCATATACATAAAGACTGTTCAGGTTGCATTTATCCATTTATGCATATATATATAATTGTAACAGTTACAAATAACAAGAACATAATTTGAGAGGGAGTGGCAGGCAGTAGATCCAATTATATTTAATTTAAAAATTATTGTTTTCGGAACTTGGGAGCGAGAGGAAGGTGGATCTCTGTGAGTTTGAGGCCAGCCTGGTCTACAAAGTGAGTTCTAGGATAGCCAGAGCTGTTAAGCTGAGAAACCCTGCTTTGAAAAAATAACAATAAAAAAAAATAGGTAGGTAGGTAGGTAGGTGGGCAGATAGGTAGGTAGGTAGATAGATAGATGACTGACAGACAAATAAATAAAAATTACTGTTTTTCTATCAAATACCTAAAAGCTAGTAAGAAGCTAATAATAATGGAACATTAATTAATTTACTCCTTTCTGGCTTGTGCTCTACAAAGATACTTCCAGGAATTAATCGACAAGTTAAGATTCCCAACTCAAACACTGAATTATGTTATATTAGCAAATGTCATTGTTATCACAGGTAAGTCAGAGGACTAAATATGAAATTTTCATTTTACTCTAAATCCTTAACTGAAAGTTTTATAGAAGAATTTTTTTTTTCTGAGCTAAGGTTTATGTTCTGCTAATTAGCATATATTAAGTTAAATATTCATAGATACTGTGATGCTGGCTGATACTAGGAACATGATCAAATTCAAGATATTGGTAAAAGTTTATAGTTTTAAGGCAGGAAAATATGAGGTCCCAATGCTGAAAGGGAAAGTGCCATAAGCCCCAATCCCTATACCAGAAGCTATCTTTAATTGATAACTGCTAGCAAATAAAAATTTTGTTTCTCCAATGGAGTCTCACTATATTTACAAACTATTCTTAAGGACAGACTGTATGGCCAGCAGAACATGGCAAACACAGAACAAACTCAATGACATTTTTGGAGATTCTTTGTGTCATAATGCTTTGTCAGGGCTGCCCGACTTTCTTTCCTTTCCCCTCCCATCCCTACTTTCTTTCCTCTTTTCCTTGCTTTTCTCTCTTTCTCTACCTTCCTTCCTTCCCTCCCTCCCTCCTTCCTTCCTGTAACCTCAATGTTACAGATATCATAGGTTTGTCCTTTAATGAAAAAAATGCTCTTGAAAAGGCAAATCAGTAAGGAGATATTTATGAACATTTTTTTAAATTTTTTATTTAACTTTTATTAATTACACTTTATTCATTTTGTATCCCCCCCATAAGCCCCTCCCTCCTCACCTCCTGGTCCCACCCTTCCCCCCCTTTCTACATGCATGCCCCTCCCCAAGTCCACTGATAGGGGAGGTCCTCCTCTCCTTCTTTCTGATCTTAGTCTATCAGTTCTC